TGAACAACAATTTTACTTTCCACGGAATGCGAGGAGTGGATCGTAAACGTAGTTAAAAGTCATTATACTGTGTATAGATGAATTTGTTCTTTCAGTTTTCTCCTCTTCAGTTTTCGTGGAGAGGTGGGAGTTTATTCATTTACTCAGATATACATAGGGTAGCTGATTAGTATTGTGCAGTTGAGAAGGGCATATCTTAAACAAATTAACTTATAACTAGTATAATTCTAACTTATAACTAATTTTCAGTTGCCTCTTAATGCTTACATTTCTTAAACATCATTATGAAAATTATTTTAAAAGTTCTTTATATTATTGTTCAATCTTGTGTTTTTGCATTCACGCTCGCATTTACCCATGAACTTATAATTATATACTATAACGCATTCACACACATGTACACACATGATGTGAGAGTAGGGTTGTCTTATATACAATCAACCTTAAGCCAACCGACTTACAATACCATATCCAATGCAATATGAACACACTCGACAACTGAACACAATATTGCGAGTGTGCTGTTGGCGTCGGGGAGACTTTCTCACGTCACCCCGAAGGGATCTGAAAAAGTAGTAATACATGTAGTTTTGTTATAATTCGATTTTTTTAGTGGAAATATGACATTAGGTCATTGTTACACCTCCTGCTTCTTAAAGTGAATATTTTTAATTAATTTGCGAATGTCCTCAGCGGGGCTCATGGCCTCAGAAATGTGCTTACCACTGTTAAAAAGATTCGTTTTGTTAGGCAAGAGGTGTAACAATGACCTAATGGCATCGGCTACTTTTAAAAAAATCGAAGTATAAACACAATATACGTATTTGTACACTAGCGCAGCTCAGCCTTTTTTTCGCTAGTTAGGGTTGCGCGCGCATACACCTAGCGATCCTGGTGAAGATCAAGTACAACTACGGATAGCATCTACTAAAGTACATGGATTTGTTGTGAAAATGCGTTTATTAAGAGATAATTAAAAGTTTAAAAACTAATTTGGAGTATTTCTTGAGATCATGGTTTCACATTCCTAGAATTTCAAGTGCAAGTCATTAACTAATACGTACAATTACATCGAACTAACGTTTTAACCTTACATTTGACATGTATCGGAACATATTTCATATGCACCAATTGAATTATTATACTAATCTTGTTAACATATTAATAACAATGCATGTGTCAAAAAAACACTGTTCTGCATTGAAATACAGCTATAATGAAGGAAAAAATCCTGAGTTATGTTGTGGTTTTTTGTTTCCTCAATAGACCTATTAAGGAAAGATTGAAATTAATTATTACCTCCTAACAGATATGTTATTACCTCCTAGATACCCTTATTTACTACTTAGATTACTTGCATTTCTAGATATTTTCATGAATCATTGTTCTTCCTAATTATTCCACTATTCACTTTCATTGGACAACATTCATTAGATTTAAATAATTTCTTTGCTTAAAAAATATTCAGTACGTATATTTCACATTTTTTTAGTTATATACATAAGGGAATTAAAATATACACAAAAACATTCACTTTTTTGGTTCTATTTTGCGGAACTACGTTGCATTATGAATTTTAAGGCGGCGTAGAATCCCTGTCTCGCCGCGCGGATCGCTAGTGTCGCTGACCACTTGGTCATAGGGCATTTATCACGGAGCTACTGCATAAAAATGTATACGGTGGTTTAAACCCTAAGGATCCGGGTCCGAGATATACGAGTGTGAATGGCGCATGCGCAGGAGGCGACGCGTCCGCGGGCGGGGCAGCGCTGGGCGCGGGCGGGGAGCCGGCGGTGCGCATCGTGGGCTACGTGGGCGTCACGCGTCCGGCCACGCCCCCCGCCACGCCCACCCCGCAACGCCTGCAACAACAGCAGCAGCAGCAGCAGCGGGCGGCGGCGCCGGGAGAGGCCAGGCGGCGCCTGAGGCCTTGAGTAAGCGGACAGTAATCGTATGCAGGGGGATTCGAAATTCATTTCAATTCATTTTATGCCTTATTATCCGCGGCGAGGCTCTGGCCATCAGTTGTGCTCTCTCGCCCGACCACGCACATTCCGCGGCGCTCCTTTCTCCGTCAAGAAGAGGTTAGTTTGTTAACGCCTTTTGTTACGTGGCTATCAGCTCCGCTCTTCTGTTTGACTACGCAAATTTTGCTACGCTCATTTCACAATGTAGCGGAGGAAGAAGGTATCACTCGGATGACGAAACTGGCGATTTAATTAATTTTGTGCAGAGGGATCTTTTAGACTTAAGGATTTTTACATACTGTTAATCTACAACATGGGACAGCCGTCTTTACTTCCTTTAGAAATCTACCGCTTTGATCGGGTTTGAATCCGCGAATTTGGGTACAATAGTCCGATTCACTAACCGTTACAGCACCCAAACCACAATTTCAAGATTAAGTGGCTCAGTGCATCGGCTAATGTCACTGTAGTGCCTCTGACCGGGAGATTCTAGGTGTAGTAGTAGTGTAGTGCGTGTCAGAGAATGTCTGTTTGAAACAGCAGAGAGATGAAACAGGGATGAAGAAGAAACAGAGATAAAAGATCGCGACCTGTCCGTGGTCGATTGTTAGAATACTGCTCCAACATTTCCCTAGAACTGACCCAACAAATCACAGAAAACTGCCGATCGAAACAGCTGGCTGCTAGAATTTTCAAAGGGACAGAGTCGAGAAATGTATGTAGTATTGAAGGGGAAATGTGGCGGTGGTGTTTGGAATGACGGAAACAGAAAGGGGGGCCTTACTGATGATTTCGTAACAACCAACTTTTTTAGTGTATTATAATTCTCATACTTTTATGTGTTTGTCTTGAAAATAGTTCGACTTCTGCCGATCATCCTGTACTTGAGGAAACATTTAAAATTTCGTTTCTCCGTTGTTTATCCCTTCTTTTTCTTTTCGAATGTTCGTGATTTTCATGTTATCTACTTTCTCTATTCTTGTTGATTATATTAAATACAATTGTAAAATTACTTTGTAGCTACTTTTCTTTTTTTACTTTCAGGGACTTGCAGATTGACAGTTCCTCCTCCTATTTCTGCCCTATCATTTTGTTATAGCTACGTTGGCAACACTACAGGAGAAAACTGTACTTAGTTGCACAGTTTAATGGTGAGATCTTCGTGCAACTTTCTAGTGTAGTTTCGGCGTTTTGTCAAATATAGGTTTTTGCCTATTTGAAAACCACAAAAAAAAGATTTTTATACATACATTATTCGTTTAAATACATCTTTTATATAAAACTGTATAAAATTATTTTATTTCAAATTCGTATTTTCGAAAAATTGTATCTTCGCATATTTTTTGAGCTCGGAAATCCCTTCGCCTTTTTTAACCATACATACAGGGCTGAATTAACCAGGCACGTTCGCCACAGTGCTTAGGGCCTACGATAGAGCCTCTTAACAAACTGTTTTGCTACTTTATTTCAGGACTAAAAATCAACAAATTACATATACAAAATTTACAATGTTTTATAAAAATTACAGTGTCGCGAGTTGTAGGAGGAGAGGCAGGACCCCACCAACTCGTGCAGGAAGAAAAGAGAGTATCTTTTAAATAAGTTTACTGACTTACCCGCGTAGTGGACCCTACGACCTGGGAGCGGATGGCGTGACGACGGCTGGCTTCGGAAGGTTGTCGCGTAATAAGAGGGGGCGAGGTGCGGAGCCCTCGCCATTTTATAGCCTCGGAACGCTGGCGTCAGCAAATGACAACTGGTCACTTGCCGACGGCAGCGTGTCGCGAGGGCCGGAATGCCATATCGCGACAACAGTGTTTTAAATTCTAATTTAAACGTAGGTTTCTATAAGAGCGTGAAAAATTTAAAACATTAAAAAGGATAAATCTTTTAGTCACAAAAGACGACGTGAATTTCGAATGAACTGTGTTCTCTATATTCCTCAAAATTAGTTTTTTTTATTCCAAATAATTCTAATGATTACATTTTAATACGGTCTTATAATCATTTCTTAGTCCTTCGAAAAAATTGGTCTTAGGGCCTACATGAAGCTTAATACGGCCCTGCAAACATAGCAGAATTATAAATAAAGGGCAGAATCGAGCGTTGTTGGAGGCAAATGATAATAGGATATTCTCTTACATTTTGTAATACAAAAATTGCTAACATTTTCTTGCATTTTCAAATTAGCAAATTATAAATTTGACAAAATAAAACGGTAAAAATTTGATTTGATAGTTCTGTGGAAGAAATAATTAAGTTTTCCAGTCCTTTAGCAATTTAGCAAAAACTGAGCTCAAAAAGATATACGCTGATAAAACACTTAGTAAACTATTTTTTTTAATTGTTTGAGTGTATAACACAATAATCCTAACGGAAGCGTTTTTGGTATTATTCATATAACAATTTGGATTTAAGAGATTGGAGAGCGTTGCATTCAAATTACAATAATCGAGAAATACGTGTAAGTCGTGTTTTTGCACTATTTGTCACAATGCAAATCTACAAAAGATTGCAGGAGCCAAACATTACGGGGTTACAAAACGAAGAGCGAATTTGCATTTTATTATTAGATAATTTGTGGCATTACATCAGAAAATAATTGTCTTTTTATTTCATTTATATTTTTATTTAATGGGATTTTCATCTTGATAATACCGATAAATCACTGTGAATCGCCGCAATTGTCGTGCAGTAGGACTTCAAAAGTTGCATAATGCAAGTTAATTTTTACAAGGCGAGCGGCACATCCATACGCCTGTGAGAGATTTTTAATCTCTAAAATCTTGCTATCACTCAGATGTGGATGAGAAGAGCAATGCATTTTGAAAAAAAAATAACAAAACCTAAAATGAAGCATTTCAAATAATCCTTTAAATGATTGTTTCCGAAATTTACTATTAGTTTTCCCGTAGTCGTATACTTTTTTCATTCAAAGTTCCTTCTTTAGTGACGTCATACGATGACGGGAACTATCGAATTATATTAGTACGGACTTAGTGCCAGGCTCGGTGTCAGCAATATCGATTTTTTGCGCAAGCGCGGAGGCACTTAAATGGTGCGAAACACTGCGCAGGAGCAGGATCGATAGTACTTTAACGTTCGAGATGGTAGTCCCTAGGACATTCGTCTATCGAAGTGCACAGAAGTTCGTGGTAGATCGATTGTGAATTGACATCATCGAACATCATGGCTACCGCCGGTGCGTCGGCCGAAGTGGTGAGTAGAATTTCTTTTTAATTTCCGATTATATTAAAGGAACATATTTTGTTAACATTTTCATTGCGCATGTTTCAGGGAGTTGAAGGTCTTACAGCTGGTGCCAGCTTATTATCACGGCCCGCAGATGAATTCGAAAATGACGTAAGATAACCTACCTCACTTAAAATATAAATGTCAAGAACATTTCGATTATTTATTTTTTTATTGTGTGGTAGCTACTTATAATTTTGCATTGATTATTGCTTCCGTCGCCTCTCCGAGTTTTTCGCTTCATTTATTAATTCTGTTTTAACCTCTTTACAGCCGTCAGTGGAAGCCATGTGGGCAATGAAAGCCTATGAACATGCTGAAATTTATTTTAATGTAAGTGATGTAGTTTTAATAATTGTACATTTACGTATGTAAATATATATCATATTTAGTATCAAGGAAGTAAAATGTGTTTCCAGATATTGTGTTCAGTTGATCCAAAACTGTTGAAACTGACACCACACGATGATATGATTTATAAAACATTTCGAGAAGAGTTTCCAGATCTGAAAGTTGATGTCGTGATAGAAGATGAAATGAAGAGTCCTGAAGGAAAGTCTGTAAGTACAAGAAGACCTTTAAAATCTTTCAAGATAACCATAAATGATACTAATTTGCCTTCCTGTTATTTGACTTTTAACAGAAATGGAGACCATTCTGTGAAAAATTTAAGAATGTAGTGGAAGATTATAGTTTTGGGACTCTATTGAGACTTGATTGTCAAGGTGAATATTCTGAGAAGAATAGTATACTTGTGTCACGAATCCAGTTCTATGCCATCGAATTGGCTAGGAACAAGGAGGGACTCAATGATACCGTTCGTACAAACTTCCGGCCCAAGAGGCTTACAAAAAACCAGTGAATTTTTCCGTGTATTTGTGTGAAGTGATACATGTGCTTTGTAGTGCTAAATGCTGACTGACATTTGCCTGTGATGGTACCTTTCTTTATATTTTTACCAAAAGTAATGTATCATGTTTTTGTTTCTGAATAAACAACTACTTGGGATTTTATTACACAAATATTACAACTTAATTAATTTGTTTTCTTTGCATGTAAAGTTTTATTGCATTAGACATCCGACCTCCCATTACTGTTTTAAGATAAATGCATAATTAACTGCATAGGCCTTTGAAGAGGTTTTGGTTCCTCTGAGATCTGAACTTTGTCATCCAGTCAGAAGATCTAACCAAGTAGGCCATGGAATCAAACATTGCTTGTGTGATAATTTAGCAATCTTATAGCTTTCAGCACTAATATATAAGTTACAATTGGCATTGATGGTGAAGATGAAAAAAATGGGATGATCAACACATTGTAGGCTGACAATTGAATCATACAGGTTTTGTTGTGTATGAAGATGAAGGATAACAAATTAATAAAGCCTACACCCTCTCATAATCTGATGTAGGAAATAAGATGGGGGGGGGGGATTAAAATATCGAGGAATCAGTAAAGAAAAGTAAGTATTTGAAGATATTTAATACCTTAAAATTATAGAGAGAGAAAATTACACACAGTCCAAAAGAAAGAAGACTATGGTTAAATATTCTGTGAATGTACTTAAACCCAGAGTCGCGAGTTGTAGGAGGAGAGGCAAATTAGTTGAATTTTGAATAAACGATGGCAACAACGATTGGTGTTGTCTGGATGGCCGAGATCATTAAGGCAGTTGTCGTAGCAACCTCGGACCGAAGGATTGCAGGTTCGAGTCTGGCCTCGGGCATAGTTGTATTTGTGTTTGTCCTTCCACCCCCTACCATCAACATATGTCATCTTCTAGATACCATAACGTTAAACCCAATAGTGGTTGCTAATGACCTAGATGTTGATGCGACCTTAAAGAAAAAAAAATTTTGGTGATAAAATCTGATAATCATAAATGTTTTTTCCCATGTAATAGAAACTATTTTGCATAAAAAAATGAGATACAGGTTTGTATTATCAGTCCTGTCTTCAAAATAACCAAGCCCTCTTTTCTCATATCTAGTTAAATGAGGGCCGAAGAAACTTACGTAGGCAATACATATGGTGAAACATGAATATAGATTCACATTTATCAAAATATTTATTAGACAGTTGGCCTGAATACTTTTAGTAATAAACTACTTTTTAGTAAAATTATTCTTAACATTGTATTGTTTTTTTCTTGTAATTTTGCCATATAGTACATATTGAAACCTACTTTATTTTCATCAGAAAAGTGAGATGCATCACTTTAAACTTTCATGTGAAAATGATGTAAAGTCATAAGAATTCATTCTGCTTACTAATATTATCATTACCTCTCCCTATTCTGAAGCAAAGACCAAGAAAGAAAGCCTCAGAGCTAACCAATCAAATCAGGACAGCCTACAAATCTAAGCTCTGAAACTTCTTGTTATATGCCTGAGTAAAGTCCTATAATTGTATTGCTATTGTTAAATTGTGATAACTTGATTAACAGTTTCATGCATAAAATATTTTGTTGATTACAGATATTAATACTGAAGTCATATATTTTATAATATTACTTTCATGAACTTATTTTATTTTAAAAACTCTTATTTGATATTAGAAATACATAGCATAAAGTCTGTAACAAACTTTTTTATGACATGCAGCTCCCTAAAACAGTCATTGCTTGAGTTTGGTTAGTTCACCTGAGATTGATCAACATCTAATTGTCATCATACATTGATTCATCTCATTAATCAACTGATTCTCTCCATTCAAGAAACAATTTCTTTAAAGTATTCATTTACCCGAGTTTTAAAATTTTTATTTGTGGAAAATGTGTGAATTCATCTGTGATTCTCATATCATTGGTTTTGGTATTAAGTAAAAAAAAATATTTTTTTAAATTATTTCTTTTGGTATACTCATTTTTTCTTCCAAGAACATTATAATTTGGAACACCATGCCTCATGAATGATTAAACATTTTTTGATGATTCCTTTTTAAGATTGTTTCTTGGATTATACTTCAGTACCTGAACCTAAATTTGAAGATTCGTAAAGGATTTGTATGTGCTTTGCAGGTATTTAAATTAGAACTTTTAAAAATAATTGATAACAATAACAAATAAAAGGATAATTTATTATTGCTAATTTGTATTTTCTATGACAATTGAAGGGCTAAGAGAACAAGGGGCTATTTCACTCAGACATAGTTCTGAGATAATGAGGGCTTTACATGAACTTCCCTCATATAACCCAATATATTTTTGAACATTTAACCCAATACACTTGCGTAATAGTCCACACTGGATTTAAATATCATAAAAGAAAAATATTTGAAGTTTTGTATAATGCTATGGAAAATTGTAAAATTTCAAGAAAAATTTGCGATAGCCCCTTGTTCTACTGAGCCTGTCACTTTCAGGGTTTGGCACAAGAATTGACTTTCTGCTAGTAAATAAAAAATGAATCATAAAGATATCTTAGAAACAAGAAGAGTTATGTTGTTTTGAGTTGGCCCAAACAAGAGAAAATGTAGCTTTAGGGAAAAGCCAGATTAAGATTCATTAGCTCTGAAGTGGTCATTTGTGAACACTAGTTCCCAAGCTATAAGAAAGAATTTGTCCAAAAGGAGAGTCTGCTTTTGATGTGGTGACATAAGGACTTTACATTAGTTTACATTGCATTTTTAAAATTTCTCATGAAATAATCTTAATGTTTCTGTCATTTTTTTGCAATCATGGCCACTTGAACTGCAAATGGCCATGGGACATGGCATATGTGTGCGCATTCAGAAAAGTATAAATAAACAAACAATTTTAAGCATTAAAAAGTACTTATCTCAATGTCCAACAAACAATGAAAATCAAAAATTCCAATTTTTCATAAAAAAATGTTATTGTGAGGTAGACTAGTACCATATCAAAAGTACGTGGTCACTTTAATTTCATTATGAAGAGTTTACTCAGAAAATAAGACAAAAGTTTCCAAACTTTATTTATATACAATATTCACTTCAATTTTACAATGTATATATTTTTTGTTGGACAATTTAAAATATCATTAATATAAGATTCATGTGGAAGTAGAAGACAATAACTTTTGTTTTGCCTAGAGCTTCAAGAATGTTAAATCTGCATCTTAGGTTACAAATAGTGCAAGTGGAGCGTGATTTTAGCCATCTTCAAAAACACCCATAAGATTTGACTGTTCATAAATCAATATTTTAGACAATAAAGCTTTAAAATATTTAATGTTAACAAGACAACAAATCTAAGATATTTTTTCAATTATAATCAAATTTGTTTCTTATTATTTGTGGTGTTTCTTTTTTTGTATGTATGTGAAAAATACAGACGTTGCCTAACTACTTTTCTTGAAAAAACAGAATTGAAACTTACTTTGTTAAAACAAAATGCAAAATATTGGCCAGAACAATACCATTCATGGATTATTGCATGTGTCATGGACTATACTGGCAAGGTTTGCAACTAAGCATTCAAATTTGTGAAAAAAATTTAATGACAATTATGTGTATTCCATAGTTGTATTATCCAAAAAGTACTTTTTATTAAAGAACACTTTTATAAGGTCTTAAATTTTAATTTTTGTCTATACTACTTTTTAGTACTTTTTGTTTCATAAAAGTGGTCTGTAAATGTATATTTAATCTTATTTCTTGGTTTATTCTTTTAACTGTATTCACAGGATATCAGAAATTGAAATTATTTTTATTTTATGTATTATATTTTGGTTATAAATTTAATTATGATTTTAGTCTTAAAATTATTACAAATTTTAATGAAATGGATATGTAGCATTGCCACCTACATGGTGTTCTAGGTTGGTTTGGATATAGAGAGTAATCGTGAGTTTAGCTACTTCATTTAAATTCAATAGTCATAAAATCATTAAAAAAAAACTTTTTGTGAATTGTTGGCCATCACTTGTTTGCAGATCTTTATCAAGAGTTTTTGTTTTTGACTCATATAGTAGGAGTTTTTAGTAGTTTGCAACAGTGTCTTATACAGCCTATTCAGTGAAATTGGTTTTGATTTGAATTACTTCTCCAGAAAACACTGAGAATGTAGGTGATTATCAGAGAGGAGAATGTGCATGCTTAAACGATATTAATAAAAACTATTTTTTGTTTAATGAAGCATATAATTCTCATTCAAGATTACTATTTTTATGTTAATGTTATGTTGTATTTAGGCATTATATTGTAACATGGCAATGTTGCATCAGGAAACTTGATGAAAATAGGGCAACTAACAACATAGAATTGCATTATTTTCCTCAACTTCTTGCATAATGTTTTTTCCAACTTGTTCATTTTTCATACTTGTTTCATTTTTAATGATTTACCGTACCTACAAGTAAAAATTATCCATGTTTTTTATGTTACTGAATTATAAATGAATCTTAAATCTTACCAAAAATTAAATATTGAACATTCTTATAATCACAAAATTCATTTGTCATAGAATTCTATATTAATGACTTAGTTAATTGAAAAAATAAATCTCTAATTAATCAATAATTATTAATAAATAAATAACATTTTTTATTTCCTTTTAATAGAAATGATTTCTTCTAATAATTTGTAAATACATAGTATTGTCTATATTTAATTGATTTCATAAATTTTATGAAAAAGTTAAAAGGTGGGTAGTTCCAAAATCTTTTTATTTTATTTTAGATATAATTTTTTTTTCTCCATATGTAATGCTAATATGCATGAAGTTTGTTATTTAAAAAAAATCCTTTTTCCTTGTTTATTTGTGAGTGTGTTCTTGCGTGTGTGAGGGGGGGAGAGAGAGAAAATTCCACTGAGTTTTAATATAGTTGGCAAAGTTGCTCCACTTCTAGGGTAATTTTACTCCATCCAGGGTAATGCTGTTGATACTTTCACGCCTACTACATACTTGCATAGTAAAGAGAAAGTATTGAAAAGCTGTGGAATTGGCGATTTTACATTAGGAAAACTCGTATTGTGGAGCCCTGATATTGAACAATCAGACAAATTTGTTTCTTTAGGTTGTGAATTACTTGCTCTAACAGGTTGAGTATTAATCGCGCAACTTTTCTTGAACAATGA